GTATGTTTTCTCATCTAATGAGCAGCCCCTTTCAATTTACCTTCTTGTGCGTGTTGAGAGAATGGTGATAAAAAAATGTGCGCGCACAATAAAGGTAGGAAAAAGGTGGGAAAATATGACCCCGTATCATTTGCAATTTGTTCAATTTGCCAATTTTCTGTTTTTCACATGACTTCACCCAAATTGCGCTACAATATATATATATAAAGAGTGCAATTGTTATTTGGTGAAATTGGTGAAATATTATATGAACATATATAATAAAATACAAGATAGAATTCGGATAGTGGAGCGCGTGTCTTGAAACACTAAAAAGTGTGAATGCCGCAGCATTGCCCAACGTTGCAGTTTGAAAAAAAGGCAAGAGAAAAAAAGTGGCGTGGTGTAAAAAGTTCAAGTTTATTCAATTGCTACATCACACAAGTACGCGTGCATTGTATAAGTTAATTCCTCTGATTGTGTTTTCTCAGTTCTGCTCTTACGATTGTTGGTTTGTTTTCCTCCAGAGTGTCTATTGTGTGTTGGTTTGTATATGGATGATGATGATGTAATGGAGACAATACAATTTTTTTTTGAGAGAGAGAGAAAGAGGCAAATGTCCAAGAAGTGCTCCAGTAGGGTTTCATTTTTTGAGGTCTTGCTCCTATTTTTGCCCCCCACAAATCTGCTTTTTTTTAACGCGTTTCTCTTTCAAAGGCGTTGCTATCCGATGAATTGTTCTCCTTCCCCTTGTGCACATTCCCATCATGTCTCAGTCGCGAGTTGAGATAAGACAGAATGCTTAGTGAGTTTGGAATTGTAGAAATTAAGGAGAAAAAAAAAGAACACACATGAGAGTATAGTTTTATTCTAACCGACGCTCTCTGCAGACAATGGACCATTGTTTGTCGATTAATAAGTATTTAAGAGTCATGTGTTGCACACGCATAAAAAGTTTGCAATAAGTGCACACATAAAAAGTGTTGTAAGAAATAAATTGGGGTAAAAGGCAGAGAGAGAGAGAGAGAGAGAGATTCCTCTCGGAGTGACGATGGAATGCTGAAAAAGTCATCAATTGCATTGCACAATTCCAAGTGAAATATTTCCATCGTGGTCTATCGGAAAAATGCATTTTTTTCCATCATGACGATATAAATGGGGTGAAATGGTACGCTAAAGGGCGATGTGTTGTGAATGGTGGATTGGCGAAAAAAAAGTGTGGAATTTCTTACTCCCTTTTACTGCTTTCGCCCCCTGTTGAATTGCTTCTGTGACACGAGAGCACTGCGAAAAAGAAATGTACCACTTGGGAGGAAGATGATGAAAACAAATGGAATATTTTCCACATAGACAGAATCTATAAACCGGAGGTGTTGAAGAAAGATATAAGGGGAAATGCTATGTACTTTTTACTTGCTTTGCTGGAATGCTGCTACTCAGTGTAAGAAACAGTGCTAGTCAATCAGATTGCGGGTAAAAGTTGTGTTCTTTTTGTGATGTTAACATTGATAGATTGGCATGAATGCGATAGTCATGGTGAATACTACCTTTTCGATGGTTTTTCAGTGAATACTATTGTTGTATTTCAGTGCTTTTGTGGTTGTTTACAGAATTTGTATTATTTTGCATTATCTTGTTTCATTCAATTTGTGTTTAAATTTGAAATTCACTCTTCACGTGAAATTATTCGAATGGATTTTCTGGATAATAACAAAGTGTTGAGTCAATTGCGGAAGAAAACTTCAATGTTTTCTCTGCTGCAAATTCACTGAATGGCCTTCTGTGTCTTTTTCACTTCTTGTTTCCCTTGACTTCTCCCTCTGTATTTCGAGTGTTTTGTGTACCTTTTTGGAGAAAAAGGTTTTGGTATGTTGTGCTGTACAGTTTGTGTGCCTCTGCAACTATCTAGAAAATCTACCTATTTGGCCGTCCTGAAGTTTTCTCCCTTTTGGCGCACGGTGTGTGCGCTCCGGTGAAAAGAATAAAGAGTCAATTTATGAATTCTTGAAGCGAAGAAACGAAGAAAATAAGATACTGATGGCTGGAGATGGGGTATAGACATGAAAAAATCAGACCCAAAAATACCTGTTTGCCGGCACACACAATTCGGCCAAGGTACAAACAGAGAAGAAGCAACAATGAGATGAAGAAGAGAGCAAAGCGGTCCATTTGCTGGGTATATTGGAGGTATATTGTTGCGCTTGTTGTCTTACTAGTACATATGTACATGGTATACCAATGGCAAAAGGAGCTAACATTACTTTATTCTCTCATACGGAATTCAAGAATGTACCAACGCCACTTTTGAAATGATTTTTTCTCCTCTCCCGCCATTTTATTCTATGTTAAATGAGAGGTAGATGGGCATGTGAGGTATGATGATGAGGAGAAGAAAGGAAAAACTGTGTGAACTGTTATTTTCATTTCATTAGAATAATGTTGTTTCTTTTATCCACTTGTTTCCCTCGATGTTCTCTTGGATATATCTCAGCGTCGTTAGACACAAGAAGGCACTATATTGAGCATTTCCAGCATCATTTTTGGTAGCAGCATCGCATTCCCGAAATAGACACAAATTTCACGATTTGAGAAGGCGTTTTGGGTAAATTTCCCGGGCGTGTACATTAAATTGATGTTTTATAACTTTAAGGCTTCTGATTGTTGCATTTGCAATATAAAAATTTTTTTTTTAAAAGAGGATTATCAAATTAAAAACGTCATATTTCACTAACTGGAAATAAAAAAAAATTCATTGATTTTCAGTAGAAAGTATACATTTGGGAATAATAATGATACATGGATTGATAATATTCGATTTACTCAGAGTGTCATCAAAATTCGCATTAATTTAATTTTCCAACTCCATGCATTCGTGTTTTCATCACATGAATATAAACACCGCATGATTTGATTTTATATTTGTGATCATTTTATTGATCACATCCAATAACATATTGCACAATAAAAATTGTGAATGGGATTGATATATATATTTTGCGAAATTCTGATAAAGTGTGAGAGAGATATAAAGGCTTTTTTGTGTACAGGTAAAAACGTGGTCAATAAAAGTTATTTATGTTACACTTTAGTGTACCCTATAGAGAGGGACTATAAAATGTACATTTTCGAGACTTCCTGTTGCCGCGCTTCTTGCGAATCCAAAAGCTATTACCGTAATTAGGTAAATACACTCAAAATAGCACGGCTTCCCTCGCAGCGAAATGAAAGAACAAATTATTCCTCGGGTGATAATCTAATCAGTCGCCGCGTGAGGGTTAGGAAGGAGGTCATGCGATGGTGGGGCAACAAAATTCAAATTAACATTGGCATAATGAGAAAATTGATCGAAGCTCTGGCTTCGAGTGTCTTTGAACTCCACCACTTTGTCACGTACTATCAACTTTTGGGAATACTTAATAGCGACTGAAGCTCTTGAGATGTGATTCTTTAATCAAACGGGGCTAATCAGGGTGCAAAGGGCTAATTATCGCGTATGGTTGAGGATAGCAAGAAAGTATTTTATTCTCTCGAGGCTTTTATGATTCGCCAAACAGTGTGACCTCAGTTTTCGCGACATTGGTCTATTTTGCTTTGGGAAAAGCTTCATCGACTGTCTGCTTGCGAATTATCTGATGAAACTCTTACTGAATTATAGAGTTTTTTTTAATTCTGTGTGCTGTATAATGAAACTGATGGTCGCACTGTAGAGCTGGTGGGTTTTTTTTATCGTTGTGCCATCCTTGAGATTTTCTCTTGGTTTACACAGAGCGCAGCTCGTCCTGACGTGATATATCAGAGGGAATCTTTTTCAGAAAATATTTTCTTACTCATCAGTGTTAATGGTAAAATGAGTGGAGGAATGGACGAGCGCGCGCTGAGAAACACATCTTCCACCTTCCATCCACTTGTGATTATGTGTAGAATGACTATGCTGTGTTTTACCAACATTATATTTATAGTGGAAGGAATCTGCGTGCGCTACAGTGTTTGTTTATTTGTTCTCATTAAAAATTCAAGGACTCTCAAATGTAAACAACTCTCCAGCATCCACTGAATGCTGTGCACATGAGAGGGTGTGTGGTAGCTGCAGGGGTGTCGGTGGATAGCTCGTGGGAGCAAGAAGAATCAGGGATTTTGAGACCATATTGTTGTAACACGAGTGAGTGAGAGGGAGGATATTGCCTATAAATTCTCTTTAATTGTGTTTAAATGGCACAAGTGCCATTTGTATTTCGTCGACCAGGGAAGAAAAGGAGAAGAGAGGGTGTTGGGTTTAGCGAGAGTAGATTGGGTGAGTGGAAAGTTTGCGTTTTCTAGCCAAATCGAGAGGAGAGTGTGAGAGAGAGTGAGAGAGGCTAAAGTGTCACAGGCATGAGATCAACTTCCTAAATAAGGGTTAAAATTTGCATGTCTCCAGTGGTTGGACAGCTACCAATAAAAGGGGTGGAAATGTTGGACAATAGAAATAAATGTGGGAATGAGGTGAATTTGATTGCGTATCCGACATTGTAAGTCACTTAAAATAAATGTGAAATTAGATAAGGGTACTAAAGGATGATTTACATTGCCAACCCATGAGTTACAATTACATTTAGCTCCCCTCTTCACATATCACTGCTCTCTCTATACACACCTATAAAAGGGATGATGATTAACACGTTTTGATATTAAAAGATTGCTTGAATGTGTAAAGCCATGTCATTTGCATGACAAAAAAGAGTGCTGGAATGATACTTTACAGTGAAGAGGCAAATTTACGATTATGATCATTAGGAAGAGGGTTATTTACAGAATAATATCCTTTTTCAATTTGATATCTTGTCTTGATTACCCTTCTTTCTTTTCTTGCTATATCCACAATATGTACTTTATGGGCAACCCTGTTGATGGAAAACATTATTGTTATTCGTGAAATAAAGTAGTTGAAGGGGATGTTAAACACGACAAAGTGAAGGGACAAATGCCAAGCCATTACGTATCTAATTTCTTCTCATCTTGCTCTTTTATTGGTGTCTTTTCAGATACAATTTAAGGATCATATTACCCTCTGCGCGAGAGAGGAGAAAAGCCAGCTCTATCTTCTGTGTCATCGCACATAAACCACAAGTTTTCGGTGTGGTCGAAGTGTATGGTGGCGACGGGAGATGAATTCTCAAGTGTTTGACACACTCAATTCCAAAACTTCCTCCCACCATCATTAATTGCGAGTGTGACGACATAGGCTGGCCTGGTGTGATGCATCAATGAAATTACGGTGAATAAATGTATTTGCCATATCTTATTTATCATTCAAAATAGTGAAAATATATGGCCGACGAACGATAAACATGCCAGTTGTGATGCTATGAGTTTCGTCGGTGAATGGGAAAATAATCAGGTGGCGAGTGTGGGTGGTTTTCAAACAGAAGTTGAGGAGGAAGAGTGCATTATATATTGAGAGAGTCACTTGCATCAACATAAATAGATATACGGCAGTAGTTTGATTATTGTTTTCCCACTGTGCAACACTCCACTATCAGTCAACTGTACACACAATTTATTCAGCGTAGTGGATTTCAACACGTGAAATTTTCAAACTACATGAGCGCATTTCCACCTGATTTGTTTCGAAATTAAATTCACATCAACACTGCTGAGGTGTGCAGCGGCGAGCAAAACTATATAGGGTGAAATAGACAAGGGAGATTTGGCATTGTGGGGCAGAAGACGGCAGATCTGAGAAAATGACCAGCGACGTGGTTCGATGGACAGGCATCAATGTCAGCAAATGGTTGTGGCGGGAGAGTGTGCTTAAATCAATTTTGTACGAAATAGTTGTGCTATTATTAGTCATTAATTGCAATGTGTCAACGGTGAAGTGCGCCAGCACCAGTGGGCTCAGTGGTGGCAACGACTGGGACATTGATCTGCTGAGTGAGATGACCCATGGTCACTACACACCCACATGGGCAGTTCATATTCCCGGCGGGGAGACTGAGGCCGACCTCGTGGCAGCTGAGCATGGATTTGTCAACATGGGAAAGGTGAGTGTTGAGCGGCACAATAATGCTAATTTTGCAAATGCAATATGTCTTTGATCCTATTTAATTTAAGTGTTGCAGTCAAATTGGGTCAATAAGTTATTTCACAAAATTCTCTCCCACTTCCACGAACCCTCGTCGACCTATATTGATCAATAAAACATCCAATTAAATTGCTCTGATAAAGGGATGATTGGATTTTCGAAGTTCAAACACACATGCAAATAATCGGGGGGAAAACTGAAACTATAATGGTGCTGGTCTAAAACAATATCGCGGTACCTGTGCTGTAAATGTTGAAATTTGTGAATTTAGAAATTACGGGGCTTATTATTTTAGGATTTAATAATAAACTGCCCATAGTGTTATGAGCATAGTTAATTTATATAATAACAATGCGAGGATTGTATTCACGTTCGAATAGTCAATATGGAAACTACCAAATGTTTTTGGCCAGACAATGTGTAATACTTCGATATTTCTATAGCAGTTATGCTTCCGTTGGGAGCTTTCATTAGTCCTTGAGCTTTTAACAGAGGAGAGATTAGAGAAGGTGCGGCGGTATTCAGAATGGATCTTTTATTGTTATTTAAAATATTGCATAAAGCTGCACTTTTAAGATATAACACTATAGCTTATCTCATGCTTCATGAAAACTCTTCATTCAGGAAGCAATTGTGCATCGAATGTGGCAATCCATCAGCTTCCTTCAGTCATGAGATCGATCAATGTACAAAGTTGCATACCTGCACATATTCTATCTCTAAATGCTCCTTTTTATCACCACCTTCGTGACTCAATCGCTGTGTCTCAGTCGTGATGGGAGTTTGTACAATATTTCCTGCACACTTTTTCAGCACAATGTGTATTGAATACAAATCACGATTATCACTCTATATGCAAATGCATTCTGTGTAAAGTGTGTATGTGCCAAAAAGTGCACGAGTGACGGGGCGAGGTGTGTTGAATGTGAGCAAAGAGGCGCTTAGCATAGAATATCCACTTCATTGCTCTCCGGTTAAAACGAATAGGAGACACACAAAATGTTGGGGAAGGGAGAGAGAACAAAATTCAAACTTCAATATATCCCTCCTCGGTATGTACATGGAGTTGAGTATGCGGATTCTATCTATAATGGCTCTTTCATCTACTCTGATGCACCCTTCACGGCGGCTTTGGATGGTGCGTCTCTGACGATGTGACTCTCTTTCTCAGTAACACCCAGTATATCCCCAGATTCTCAATCCAGTAAACAAACAGAGACAATTTGTAATCCTCATGCAGCCAAGGGCGCTTCAGGGATGCACACAATGTTTTGCACACTGGGAAAAGAGCTGGAGAGAAGCAGAGTTGCATGTGTATTTAATTGTCGTGGAAGAGCGAGGGTGGGATTGTGTTAGGAAACCAAATGCTTGCACGAGCAGCAGTGAAAGATATATCATAAAATTGCTTTACTTTCGGTGTAAGGTTGCACTAAGCATGACTATATTTTTTGTTTGCTCCTTTCGCACACTGTTCAACCTTCTTTTGCTCATGGCTTCTCATCTTTAACCGTATTTTTGCCTCTGCGGGAGGAATATTTTTTGCTGCTCTTCGAAAACGTGGTGTAAACCGTACGAATGAGGGTAGAGTTACAAGTTAACATATGCAAGCGAACTGCAATTTATTATCGCTTGTTGCATAATTATTTCTCATATGGAAAAAGTGTACTATATTGTAGAAGTTTCACTGGCACTAATGCTTTATTTTCATACCGGATGCAAAATGCATACAGTGATAGTGAAATATGTACGTATGATTATATCAATATTACAGAAAGTAAATATGGCAGAGCAATTTTTAATGGAGGGAGTGAATTTTCACTTTTTTGCTCTCAACATTGGCTTCATTTGGGGGGTAATGTCATGAAAAAAATGTGGATGAAACGTAAAAGTCCTGACGTATGAAAATATCTTAAGGCTATTAATAATGTATGAGCAGAATTTTTAGCACATGAAAATAAGTAGCATTATGAAGCGAAAGAGTAAATCAAAATTGTTATTGACTGTCGCTTCACATAAATTATAGCAGAAAAAAATGAAGCATTTATTAAATATGACTGGATTGCATAAGATTAAGTGGCTTTTGAAGAAATTTGTGGGGACTGCAATTTAACAGCACAATAAATCAATTAAAAATTTATAAAAACACACACACGATATTGAACTCTACCCAATTAGCCAGAATTGAGAAACAGTAAAAGCGACATAAATTTCGTGATAATCAAACAATTCAGAAAAGTGCAATTTATTTCATTGATGTTTATCACGAAAGGCCAGCAAAATAATCGATTGAGTCAACCCAACCGCCTGAAATTTCCATAACATGTTCGATAAGGAATGATTAAATCGGAAACGTGTTGAATAAAAATAAATCCACACTGGAATATATAAAGGTCAGATGAGAAGATTCCGTGGAAATTCATAATGTTTCAGTGCATCATGAGTTGTTTGGTATTTTCAACGGACTTACATGGAAATTCCTTTGCTCAAATCTACGCAAACTACATCTTTTTCGCTGGGAGTGTGTGATTTTTTTTTTGCTCACAAAACAGATAAAGCTCTCGAGATTGTATGTTCCGATGGTTCAAATGAAACGTACAGATGGCATTTCTATTTATTCAATGAAACGTGATTTACTTTTTCTCGTTCCTCTTTGTCTATCTCTTATACAAAATGTGAGACGACGTATAACGTTGTACAGATTTGATATATTTAATATTCACGACTCTGTCGTGGACCTCTCGCAAAATTAATAGCATTTTCGCTGTGTTCTGTTAAAATACCTGCAACTGAATTTAATATTAATTGAATTATGGATTCACAATACAGTCAATTACGTGAATATAAAAGTATGTGTGTGTATAAAATATTTTAGAGAATATAATATTCATGATTGATGTCATTAAAGCTTTATTGGGAATTGTATAGAGGGATATTGTGAATAAACGAAAACGTATTTTTATGCAAATTTTGTATAAAAGCACATCCTCATTTAATGGTTATTTTTACCATGAGCAATTCACTTCGACAACATTTCTTGTTTCTGTCCTTTTTGGCATTCTTTTTTGGGCATAAAATGCGAAATTGTTCTAAGTTGTGCTTAACTATTTCCAATTACAAAGTTAATAAATTTGTTCCTGATTCTAAAGTAATTTTCCGTTGTGCAGAAAGTTGTGATGAAAAGGTGGAAAAGTTTAAAATCTGTTATTCATATAGTCGAAAATTATTCACGAAGCAAAGTTTTTCATCCATAGTGAAATATTTACAATACTGTGACATGAATTAATTCCATCTGAAGAGCTTAATGGCTCTGTGTAATCACGCAGACGACCTAACATTATAAATGTGCGCTCTTGAGATCTCACATTTTTCAACATTTTCTATGTGAAGGAAGAGGAATGGAGGAGGAAGAATAAAAGTCTCTGACTGTATGGCGTTTATATCGTGGGGAGTCTTATTGATTTTTAAATTACAACATAAAGATGTAAAACTGTACAAAAATGCCTAGAGTGTGTTTAGCTGATAATATCGGTGATTAAAATTATACTGTTCTTGTTTTATATTCCTCTAGAATAGCTCTTTATGGACATTTCGATGGTATAATATTAAGTTTCATGTTCACAGAGATTGTATGTAAGGAACAAAGGGAGAGTGGGAGAAAAAAAATCTTGTAAAATTCACTTACTTGAAACTTCTGCGAAAGAGCTTCGACTTTCAGAATTGAACAGCATGGAAAGTAGCTTAGCCAAGAGCTTTTATGGGTTTTTATTCTGGCACAATTAAGTCTCAAGTGAGGGAAATTAAATGTCGAGATAACAAAGAATTCACATTCACTCGCAAAAAGGTTACATTACCTTTCAATAGAATAATACCGAATGGGTTTGTAACAAAGGAATGATAAGAATGTCGTCATTTGATAAGAATTCTCTGCACGGGCGTCAGAAAGATGATAAGCTTTCTCCAAAATGTCTCCATTTGGCAAAGTGCGAGCATAAACAGCAGATGATAGAAGGCGGCTGAAGTTCACTTTCTTGGAATATTGTACATTATATTTCTTGAACAAGTCGCAATGTGCTAATTTTGTCTTATATGAGAGAGATGCATCGGATTCGTTGACCTTTTCCATTACATATTTCGTGATATTTTCCTCGAGCCCATCCAACAAACCCACATTTTGCATTACGCAATTGCCATTTAAATCTTCGCTCATCCCATCGAGTTATTGAATATTTTCATGCATAATGGCATTATTATTTTTTTCTTAGCATGCCCAAGTCAATATCATGACTTTTCGGTTAAGTGTAAGTTTTTGGTGAGACGCAATGGGGATGATGGAAGACGAAGGATGAGTTTTGAAAATAAGTCCATAATAGGTCAAGTAGATTATCTATGGCGAGAGTTGGACGCTTTTCTCTGTTTGGAGTTCAATATCAGTATATAATTTGTGGAACTACCCAAAGAGAGTAATCAATTTAGCACGCGTGTTTGCGCTGAGAGATAAGATTATCGCTTCATGGAAGAAGTAACATCATTGAAATGTCTTTTGGCAAAAATCAAAGTTCAATGTTGAGCATTTTTTCACTGTCACACTGTTTTTCTGCCGGAGATGCTTGTAAGAATAGTTGAACTTCACGATTATTTGTGGATCGTGACTGTGTAGATGAAGGCAATTATGATGGGTGAGCTAATGAGAAATGTGTGATTTTCGCATATGCCACAGAGAGTCAATGAAGTGTTAAAATCCTATACAGTTACTTTTTCTCACCGTTTTGTGCTAATGTAAAATGTTTCAAATGTCACACTTTGTGTACAGATTCTTCTCAACTATAAATAACACGCGGTAGTTATTGTGCTAAGATGGCATGGAAAAAATATAATTTTTCCCTTGAGGGAAGTTTTAGGACAACTCAATAAAAGTTGGGCTCTTGAGTGGATGATGATGGTGGTGGTGGTGGCATCATT